CACTTGTTCAGATCGATGCAGCACGGCTTGAGTGGTACACGCTTCCGAAATGTTGAAGAAGTGCGAGAATGGGTGGACGAATGGATTGCTTCGAAACAAACATCGTTTTATCGAGATGGTATCGCCCAGTTGCCAGAAAGATGGCAAAAAGTTGTAGAAAGTGATGGAAAATACTTTCATTGAAATAATTTAAATAGATTTTTTACAATAAATGCTTTTTCTCAGTATTTTTTGGGCGGAAACTAAGTTAAGGTCCTAATATGTAACTGTTACTTTGTAATATAACAAAGTAACAGTTACGTAATATACCATATGATTAAGCTGACATTGTAACATCAACGATACTTTGTGTTTACTGGGTTATTATTTATTTTATTTAGTTTAGAGTAGAGAGAGAGAGTAGAGAGTGAATACGATCATCTTGTCAATGTTAAATCCCACTTCTTAACACTTTATACATATCGACTACTTCTTTTCCATATTCCGTCTGTTTACCTATAATGGTCTCCGCGTAAGCGACACCTGCGTTGTTGATGAGAATGTCGACACCGCCAAGGCTATTGGCGAATTTGAACGCCTTGAGGAGATCTTCCTCCTTCGAAACATCGCACTGGATCGGGTGGAAAGTGCCCTTGGCGGCCGTGATGCGTTCGGTGATCTTCTGTAGCTTGTCGAGTCGTCTTGCCAAACCGATGACTTTGACACCGGCCTCAGCCAGTGTCACGGCAATGGCCTCACCGATCCCGCTACTGGCGCCCGTCACGACAGCTACTTTACCTATCCAACGATGCATGACTGTGCAAGAATAATCGTCGCAAACACTCCGAAGTGCGCTTCGTATTCGTCCACTAACGCAACTGATACTGCGTGCTCTCCTCTCCTACTGCAAAGGTGGTGTTCTTTTTCGCTGCAGTCGTCAAACCGGTTTCATTAATGCTACTTCATACTTTCTGTACCATCATCGTACGCAATGTAACATGCATATGTGCACATTTGTATCATACTGATAAGTGACAAGTGAAAGATAAAACTAATGATAACTGAAAGATAAAGCCAATGTTAATTGGTGATGAATTTTTTTGCATAATTTCTGATTTGTTGTGACGAAAAACTGAGGTCACAAGTAATGAAAGTGATAAAATAAAAATAATGAAAATATTTATGAGATTTGATTAGACCTTCCCTGCCCTCTCCACTAAGAGAGAAAGAGAGAGAGAGAGAGAAAGAAAGAGAGAGAGGGAGGGAGAAAGAGAGGAAAAGAAGAGAGACAGGCAACATGGCAAAAAGGAATAATAAAACGGGAGAAAGGTATAATGACTAAACAAACCGTATATATGTGGCAGACAGATTTTGTTTTATATATCCACTAATTTTTATACACTACTTTTTATACATCCACTAATTATAGTTTTGAGCGATACAAGTGATAGTTATAATTACTTCTTTGACATATCTCGATCTTACATACCTGATAACGTTTGGATAGGCAATAAAATTATTGGTGAAAATTAAAGTCACACACCTAAGAGCGGTTACACGCAAACATCATCGTAAGATCGCGCAAGTATCTTTGCGTTTGAAATTATGTATTTCCGATATCGCACACGAGTATCGACACTATTAGATGACACGTTATCTGAGAGATATGTTTCTCCAGGCGATGAAGTTCAACGGCTTTAAAGGATAACATAGGATAACATAGCCGAAGACGGGTCTTACAAATTTCATCAAGTAATTGACTTCGTCTGATCTTGGGACGGTCATCTCCTTCCTCGCGCCACTCCGTGCAAACTTAAACAGGCTAATACTTCGGGATAATACGAAGGACGCGGATCGCTCGATGGAAACACATCCCTTTACCGGAGGATTAGCAAACTCATTAGCTCGGTTGACTTTATGGCTCGTACCTATTAGTGTATAACATATCACTTTGCGCGACGGAAACACGTACGAGGTGGCTTCGCTGCGTGCGTGTGGATGCGATCGTTAGTGCGAAATCGGCGTATATAATGCCTAATTGAATCAAAAACACGTATCGTGAATATCACGAACTTGGATTTATGACGCGTCTGATAATTGAACTGCTGCCACTTCTGTATCCGACGCTCTGCAGCAACAGTGTGGACTTACATCGCAAGTTTTCGCGGACGTCGCATATGGGTTATCGGTTAAATTCCGAGTCGGAAAGCGAATACATGATCTGAAGTCGCGGTCAAAGCGGCGAACGACCAACAATGTATATATATAGTGTGTATATATATAGTGTAGATGGAGGAGGGAGATTTTTGAATATCGCTGATGCTGCTGCTCTGAAGTGCCCTTCGTAGTGGCGAGTTTCCGCGTCTAACTTGCTCTCGTGCCGCTTTCCGTTCTCGCGGACGTGTTTCTCGTCGATGTGTTGCTTACGTTTCAGGAACGCGTTCGCGGCTTCGTGAAGACCCGATGAAACATCGACAAAAATATAAAAGCGCATCCTAAGCATATCATTTCCTTAGTATGAAAAATGATAGTTCGTCGAGATATCAAAGCCTGTAAATGAACGTCTCTGAATAGAAATACAAGTTTCTAAACGTAATCCCTCTTATATGATTCTTGCAAAATTCTCTGTTATCGCTATCAATAGTGCAGCTTGAAAATTTTACAAATAACTACGCAAATATTCGCAAGAAATAGATTATTAGTTATTTTAATATATATATATATATATATATATATATATATATATATATACGTATGTGTATGTGTTGCGTAAATTATATTGATAGATTTTTTCTTGCCGGGACTGTCGTGTGTGTGTATATGTGTGGAAATTGTGAAAGTTTTCCTTAGCAACGATTTGAAAATAAATTCGTGAAGAATAAAGTCTTATTATCGATGTTAAAAATAACAAGTTTGTCTGCAGTTGTTTATCTACGATGACTATTGCTAATAGAAATATTACTTGTTAAAGCTATTATTTAGTTGCGTTATATGAAAAAGAAGCGCATAATTGCACATTACAGATCCGATGGAAAATTTTATGTGGTGTGCGCGAATGTAAGAAAACTCGAGTGCTTGAAAACGCCTTTTCACAGAGCCCGCGTTTAAATGCGCACGAGGGAGCAGAGTGAGAAGGAGAAGAAGTAAATTTACAATTCGCGATTCAATCATATAAATTTCTTTCTTCATCGTGTATATACGCGCAGCATCGGCGATGACGAAGTGCGATAAAGAGCAAGATGAGATAGGCGTCGAAGTCCCTGATGTCGCCAGAATGTCTCAGCCAAAGCAACAAGAGCGGAAATACAAGAGGATGAGGATATGCGATTTTACATGCAAAACTAACTGATGAATAATCAGGAATTCGTCAGAGCAGATCGTTGCCGAGAGTGGCATTACGAGGAACGGCGCATTTTCAGTTACTTTAGAAACTTCCTGCTCAGCAACTCACAGGACAGTACCTTTTTGCGAGCCACCCACGACGAAACTTTCCCCTGGAGAGATCTCGCACGCGAGGCGGGATATTTATAGCAAAAAAAAAAGAGAAAGAAAGGAAAAGAGAGGAATCTCGCAAATCTCCTTGCGGGATTGTCTCGCAAAAAACTTGCACGGCTATGCATGTCCGTTTAATAGCACGTTGTGCACGATGATGCTCGCGTACAACGAGCATGGACAAAAAGTGGGGCGCATTTAGTCGCAATTAATTCCGTCTCGCTTGGATTTTCGGAGCTTACTAGACTCGTGGTGTAGATAGAAACAAATAAGCGGAGCTGGTATGAGTGGATCGATATATAAAATAATAAAACAATAAGTAAATATGGTTGCAATTTTATCCGAGCTCGTAATAGCTCTTCATGTAGATGAGGAGCTTCTCATACATAATGAGAAGAGTAAAATTTTTTTTTTAAATCGTTCAGGTGTTACATTTTTGTATTAATTTTCGGCATATTGTTTAGGTTATTTAATTACGTATTCGTGTCAAATTAACGCAAAAATTGAAATAGATAAATTGAAACATGTAAAATATTGTATTAAATTTGACACCAAATTTTGTCCCACTATACGTAATTGTATAAAACAGACATAGAGTTTGATTATGTGGAAAAAGTAATGTTGCTGTCACACATATGTGATTTTGGTTTTTACACACAAAAAAATGCATTCAAGTGAACGTCATTTATATTTCAAGTATTTCATAAGTTTACATATCCGCAAATTTGTCACAAGTTTATGATGGGCACCAAATTTATTCAAAATACATTTTAAATCCTAGTAAGTCTGGCACCTCATCTGAAATATGAAATTAAAATAAAAATTCGATCTACTTGCTACATAGAGTAAAATCTTTCTTTTGAGTACATAATTATGAGCTTTTCTCAAATTTGCGGTAAATACATTTCAAGACTATTATCAAAAAAATATTCTTTCTCAACGGTAATTGATATTTAAGAGAAGAAAAATAAGAATCGGTTTTCTTAGCAAGAATAATATTCTTCTTTGTGTAGTGGAAGATCGCTGCCCCACATATGCGTGACGTTGGTGGAAAACGCATTAATCGATTCTATACACTCGTCTCTTCGCGCCAATGATATTCGACTCATACTTCACAAGAAGCTCATCAATGGGTGCGTTCCGTTACATGCTCGCGAGCGTTGCGAGCCCAATATTGAAAAGGAAGACGAGCACTTTCTCGTGCGGTCTCCGAATCTCAACGCTCTACGATAATTAACTCGCTCTTTCCGACATGACGTGATTTTTGCAGCTCGTAGACTGCGAGAGGCGGCTAAGGAAATGGGGAAAGTAATTAGAGACGGCGCAAAACAACACGAAGCCACTCGACTGCGAGCTCCAATCGTATAATGAGAGTAAGAAATGGGTGACTCGTAGAGATTAGATACGGATAGGAAACGATAGCGCGGAGATTTCTGCTCACGGACGAGGGATTAAAGATCCACGAGTGGCCCGTTCGGGATTAAAGTTGGATTACACGGGCAAACACGCGACGCGAAGTACCACGAGCCGGAAACGCCGGTGAGGCGTGTGTTACGTTCTGATCGTTATTTTAAAGAGCTCCTGACGGGATTACGTCCCGCTAATCGTTCGTACACGCAAGTCTGTGAAATAATCTTCCCACTCTGATCGATATACCTCGTCTTGATTTGGTTTCGTCGCCCGTCACGAGTGATCATGATTATTATTGCCTCATTCTTTCACTCAACTTCGATTTACTGTGTTACTGATGTACAGAATACTTTTTATAACATTTAATTGACTCTTGGCGCACAGAAGATCTCTTCTTTTCACAGAATTATTTCTTGTCCCAACAACAAACTTAAAGTAACTCTGAGATGTACAAATATAAGCGACAGTCGTTAATATGCTGGCAAACACCAATTGTAAAGTTGTTATCATGTCAGATAAAATATAAAATGGATTATAAAATGCCTTAAAAAATGGCTTAATAAACTCAAGATTAAGAGTTTTTATATACTCATGTAATAATAACATAATTAATAATATAATTAAGAATGTTAAATAATAATAATAATAATAATAATAATCTATATACAAAATAAAATATTTGTTTGTCCCCTATAAACTCCTAAGCTCTTTGATATGTACCAAATATGTACCGATATGTACCAAATTTTGCAATAACTTTCCAAGATACTACGAAAGATCCAGAAATGGAAAATCTGGACGCATTCCACCTTCTCCCCTTGATTTCATCTCTTTGATACTTCGTGATAATTTAAATTTAGATATTCTAGATATAAGAAACTCGATAATTTGAGCTAATTAATAATGTAATTACTAAGTTTATCAGTGTAATGGCTCTCAATCTTAACAGTTTAATGAAGTCCCAACTTCATTTCGTCTGAACTGCAAGGCGTTCGCGCGCAAAGCATTGTTATTAATTAATAAATACAAAATACGACCAACCAAGTATTCCCGAAGGGCGGGCATGAGC